ATTTGAGGAGGATTGATTAGTTCTTCTTTGAAGTTCTGGTAGAACTTGGCTGACAATCAGTCTGGTCCTGGATTTTCTTTGTTGGTAGGTTTTTGATGGTGTCTCAAATTTCTTTATTTGAAGTTGATCTGTTTAAATCGTGTATATATTCCTGATTCAATTTGGGTAGATAGATCATATGTCTCTAGAAATTTGTCGATGTCTTCAAGATTTTCTATCTTATTGGAGTATAAATATTCAAAATAGTTTCTGATTATCTTCTGTATTTCAGTAGTGTCCATTGGGATATTTTCTTTTTCATTGCAAATTTTAGTAGTTTGAGTTTACTCTTTGTTAGCTTGCTAATCAAGTGTTATTTATTTTTTCAACTTTTTGTTTTGTTGATTTTTTGGATTGTTTGTTTTAATTTTCTTGATTTCAGCTCTGATTTTAATTATTTCTTGTCTTCTGCTGCTTTTGATATTGATTTGTTCTTCTTTTTCTTTTTGAGGGCTTTGAGATGTAATGTTAGGTTATTTATTTGTTGACTTTCTCCTCTCTCAAGAAATGAGACCAATGCAATGAATTTTCCTCTTAGTACTGCCTTCATAATGTCCCAGAGATTTTGATGTGTTGTGTTGTTATTCTCGTTTACTTCTAAGCAAGTTTTTTTAAAAAATTCATACCTGATTTCTTCTGTTATCCATTGGTTATTCAATGGCATATTATTTAGTCTTCAGGTGTTAGAGTAGCTTCTATTTTTTATTTTATCATTTATTTCTCATTTTTTTCCATTATGATATGATAGAATGCAAGGTATTATCTCTGTGTTTTTGTATTTGCTAAGAGTTGCTTTGTGGCCTGAGATATGGTCTATTTTAGAGAAGAATCTGTGTGCTGCTGAGAAGAAAGTGTATTCAGTCATTGATGCATCAATGAAATATTCCACATATGTCTGTTAAGTCTAAATTATTAATTATATTTTTAGTTCTATAGCTTCTTTGTTTTTGTTTGGAGGATCTTTCCAGTTGTGAGAGTGGAGTGTTAAAGTCACCCAGTATTATTATGGTAGAACTTGGTCTATTTGATTCTTAAAATTGAGAGGGTTTGGTAGTATATGTAGAAGCTCCATTGTTTGGGCATAAATATTTACAATTGTTATGTCTTGTTGATGTATAATTCTCTTAAGCACTATTAAATGTCCTTCTTTGTACCTTCTGATTAACTATGTCTTTATGTCCACTTTATCTGACATGAGGATAGAAACTACTGCCTCCAATTTTTTTTCCACAAAATTATTTTGACTATTCTACATGTCTGTACAGTTTCTCTACAAATTTCTACATAATTTTAAAATCAGCTTACAATTGGCTTTTTTTCTACAAAAAAAAATCCACTAGGATTTTGATTAGCATTTGCATTGAATCAATATGTGATTAATGTGAAAAGAGGTGACTTGTAGCAATATCATGTTTTCTGATCTATGAAAACAGAATCTCTTTTAAAATTTCCCTCCACAATAGTTTTCAGTTCTCAGGTATAGATTTTACACATATTTTTAAAAATACATTCCTAAATGTTTTCTATTTTTATATTATTGTAACAGCATTTTTATTTTATGTTTCCAATTGTTCACTGCTGAAATATAAACATGCAATTGATTTTTTAATGTCCATCTTACACCTTGTGACTTTGCTTAATTTACTTAGTGCTAATAGCTTTTTATACATTCCTTAGGATTTTCTAAACAATTGTGTATCTTTGAATGAAGATATTTTAATTTTTTTCTTATCTTATTACTTTGGCTAGCACCATGTTGAGAAAAGTGGTAATGATGGACATCCCCGCACTCAGTGGACTTCATCCTATTATTTCCTGCCAACAAATTATATTTCAAGGTGAAGAAGCTTCTCTGTCCTAGTAAATTTGTCCTAGTAAATCTGCCTTTCTTCCAATGTGCTCTAAGACCCCATTGTCTTCCTTTCCTTAAGGGAAAGCACTTAGCCTTTTACAATTGAGTATTATGTTGACTATGGGTTCTTTGTTTTTGTAGATCCTCTATGGGGAAGTAATTTTAACTGGCTATATTGCTGCCCAAATCTGTTTGAGTTTTTATAGAAAAGGAGGGAATGGATATGAGCATCTACCACACAGAACATGTTTCTTTACATTCTTTTCATCTACAGCAATATGTCTCAGCTGTGTGTTGACTTATTGGGAAATAAGCATATCTTTTCATTAGACACTTTAAGGGTGGGCTGTTGTTTACATTAATTATTAAAGGCATATCATTACTTATTAATGGTACTGTGTATGATGATGTGTTTTGCAAATAATGTGTTTGGGAGGGGCAGATTTTGCAGGGAACTACCTATCCTCAGTTCCACTGGGAAGCTGGGTTGCCTATGGTTAGGAATATGGGCTAGGAATACTGGGTGCCAAGACACAGCTCAGCTCTGCAGCCTTGTACAAAATTATTCAACCTTCTCTGCCAGTTTTCTACCTGCAAAATGAAGATATCAATAAAACCCACCACCAGGGGTTCTGAAGACTAAATGAACAGATGCAATTAATGCTTAAAACAGTTGCCAGTTGCCTGCTGCATTTAAATGAGGAGTGAATTTGCATACACCTAATTTGCACCCACGTTTTTGGTAGCGGGCTCACTGCCTGAAGTAAAAAGCAACTATATCACTTTAAAAGTCCTCTCTCCTAAAAACTTACCTCAAGCTTTTTAAGGTGGTACACTTGATTCCTATTGTTTCAAGACATTGTTTGCACAATTAGCACATTTTAAAATCTAGTGCATTGCAAAGGAAATTAAAGGGTTATAGTTATAGGCAGTGACATACTTGAGGTGAACATTGTCACTTTGCTTGGAGGTTGAGCCAGAGTATACTTTCTGATCTGTTCACTTTCACCTCTTGAGAGTGGGCTGGAATGAAGCCTCATGTGGCTCCTGGATCAGCCCACCTGAGTGTGTGTGGACCACTATGAAGTCCCACTTGGCTTCATCTTATTATTTCCTGCCAACAAATTATATTTCAAGGGGACAGAAGCTTCTCTGTCTGTTGCTTTGCTGCGTGTCTGGCCATGCAAAGCTGCCTTTCTGTCAACATGCTCCAAGACCTAGGTGTGCCCCTACCTGCCCAGGGTGAGTTTGTAGGTAAGCAGGGGGCTGCTTGACAGCAGGAATGAGGATATACTGAGCCTGCCCCAGCATCAGTACCAGAATGATGACGTATGAGAAAAGCTCTTGAACTGGCTGGCAAGCCTTCCAGGATCTTCCCCTTTCCTTGACCTTGCCTTTGCCTTTTTCTGGGGACATTTTGAAGCCTTCCATGCCAGCAGGTATGCAAAGAGCCCTCTATGAGGTTTTCCTATCTGAAGTCTCTTGTCCAGCCAGCTGTCTGTCCTGGTTTTCTCTTGATCAGGGCAGTGAAACACTTATTCCACACATTGAGTTGTTATTAGGAAATGCCTTTGATTCTATGTGTACCATCTGCAGTGTTTTATTCATCTTCTCTGACTCCCCTGCAATGGAGGGGGTGGTTGGCATGTGTGAAGAGAGCCTATTGGTCGGGTTCCTGGTGTTCTTCTTTATGGCATGATGGTTAGTTTCAGCATCTCCTAGAACTTCTGGGAATGGTTGGCTGGTTCTTGCACTTCCATCTGCAGGCTGCTCCCTGAGAGTCACCTGTCTCTGCCACAACTTTTCAGCTGTATTTGTGACACCAATGCAGAGATGCGTTGATCCAGAGAGTGAGGAGACACTGTCCTCTCCCTCAAGTGTCATAAGACGCCCAGTTAGGTGTGGAAGCAAATCCCTCTTCTCCAAGCCGTGCCCGCCGCCCTGGGTGATCGTGCTAAATTATACATGGGCAGCGACTTTCGGCAGTGCTCTTTTTCCACTGGGACACATAGCCTTCTGTTGTAAGAAGCGTTTCCCCCAGCAAAACCTCCAGGCCCCCGAAGAAACTGCAGAGTTACGGGAAAGCAGAGTGCTTTCCACCCGAGAGAGCTCCTGGGAGCGTGAGTTAAAACAAATGGGAAGTAGGTAGATCAGGTCGAACTTTCTATTTGAGTGTCATTTCCTTGAGCAGCAAAAAGATTGCTACAAGTTTAAGTATCAAGCCATTAGGTTTTCGAAACAAAGAAAGGCAAGAAGGAACAAAGAAAAGTCAGAAGTGCCAAATTTAACTCTTTTCTCTGCTCAGATAAGAATCTGCCCTTTGCTCCGCTGAAGTGACTCCAGTTCTCTGCTTCCTGATGCAGCATCTTTCTCTTGTTTGTGTATTTTCTTCGTTCTTATTTTATTCCAGCCATGTTTTCTCACTTCCCTTCAAATGAAAAATGAAAAGAAAAAAAGGTGCCCTTCATTGAGGAGGTTGAAAGACCACCTAATACAGTGAAGATCCCCCGAGGTGACTCATTGATTGAAACAGTGTCACAACATACTGTGCATTCCGCTTCCATGTTTATGTCAGTTCTTCACACACGTCAGATGTGGACACTACCAAAGAGCAATGCTTGGGATGTCACAGGAATTCAGGAGGTGATCTGAAATCAAATGGAAGCCCCTGATTACAATGGGAAGAAGGAAGGGAGGGAGGGAAGAGAGAAGGTGGACTGGTCACGTTGGGGATTAGATTCAAGTAGTCAGTTCTAATCTTTAGAATTCTTCAGGTGTGAGTGCCCCTATTAAACAGTCCACTGTATCTGTGCATTTACCTTCTCCTTCAAGTTTCTCGAACGTCTCTTACTGCTCAAGAATTGGCCGTGGCTGCCGCCATATTTGACACGTGAGGAATTACCATAAACACAGACCTGGATTCACCATACATCCTTGATGACATTCACGCACCTAATGAGCCCCTTTCTGATCATGGAGGCCAGCCCACCAGAGACCTTGCCCTTTCTTATTGTATATTAAAAATTGGATGTTTGCCATCTGTCTTGTTGCAAAGTTTAGTTCTCTCAGAATGTCATCAGTGGCTGTTTTTCTTCTGTCAATGTACCAGGTGGTGACCAAGAAAGAGGACTTCTTCCATGCCTGGAACTCGTGCCTGCACCACATCACTCTCCTGTCCCTGGCACACACTCACAGAGGTCAGTTGGGATGAATGTTCGTTCCTGGGCAGCTCAGGGCTCTGCAGTTCATCTGGGAATGTGGCTTTCCAGAGAAGAGGCAGTCCTCACGCCAGTCTGAGCCTCATGTTGGACTTAGGGCCCTAAAGACCAAGAATCGTGAAGCTTATGGTAAATCAGCTCCCAGCCCCGTGGGAACACTGACTAGATGACACCCACAAACCCATCCCTAAACACATCTGGAGCCTGGTGATGGCAGATGGCACCAGACAGCAGCCAGTTGGCAAAACGCCAGCTCCCTAGAAATGACCTTTGCCCCACAATGACTGTCATTCCTAAATAAACAAATGGGAGGGTGCACACCAGACAAAGCAAGGGTGTTTTAATAGGGCCACTGCCTCAGAATGAGAAGCACAGGGCTAACTTTTCAACCTCGTCCTTTAGGTCGCAAGAACCAGGGTCAGCTTTTTAAGTCAGGGATTCTCAGCCAGGGGCATTTTACCCCCGAGGGGGCATTTGGCAAGGCTGGGAGATGTTTTAGGTTGTCTGAGGGTGGGTAGTGTTATGGGCAGATAGTGGGTGGAAGCCTATCCTACAGGACGCAGGCAAGACCCCCACAGCAAAGACTCCTCCAACCTAATACTTCCGTCACTCTGAGATTGAGAAATTCGAATCTTCATTTTGGCCTACAAAGACCAAAATAACAAAATACAATGAAACATTAACAATGAGTAAGATCCAGGGCGGAGGGTCCGTGAAATTCTTGTTTAATCTCAAGAATCATTTGTTTCACTCGGCATCAGGATCTGGAGACATGGGGAATTATTAAAAGAGAAAGTCCAGACGCTCACGAGCTTGTGTGCTATGTGGGGGTTTCCACCACCCTGGGCCACTGCTGGCCCCAAGGGCAGGGCTGGGATGGTCCACCTCCACAGCTGCAGGGGCCTGGCTCCTGGTGTGTCTGGACACTGTCATGGTGGAATTCCTGCTGAGAGTCAGGACAGATGTTACGGCAGAACCCCGGAGAGCCTGCATCATAGCCAGCCCCAGCCTGCTCACCACCTCTCTCCCCAACCAGGAAGTTCTAAGAGAGCAAAGTGCCATGTAATGAAGTGCCACGTGATCCAGTGGCCAGCCCCTTCCTGCAGAGCTCTGTTGGGAGCTGGCTTGGAGGGAATGGTGTGGGCTCAGACCAAGCCTGGCCTCTTCTCTCCCTCCAAGGACCAGCTCTGGGGTGGTCCCATTCCTGGGGTGAGGCTCATGGTACAGAAGAGAAAGGACAGGAATGAGAATGTGCCAGGAGCAAAAAGGTTCCTTGGGAAGCAGGAGGCCCCAGGAGTGCCACCCGAGGGCCGGCCTTTGCACACAGTGACTGCACTGTGGAAGAACCAGGGCCAACTTAGCCTTCCTGATTCTGATTGGACTCCACCGCCTACACCCTGAGGCGACAGGGAAGAGCAGGAGAGGGACCGGAGGATCAGGGCAGGGCAGAAGTTTCCCTTCCCTTCAGGTTATTAAGATGCAGGACTGGGTTCCCTCATCTGCAGATCCAGAAGTCTTATCTGCACACCCACACTGTGCCAGACTCAGGGAAATTGAGTCATCTTGCTTGAACTTAGAAATGACTGATGCATAAACCAGAAATGTCAGTTTATTCACAAGTCAAAACCCAACTGCCAAGGCACGGGCACATGGCCTATTCCTTCACGGGCACCTCTCCACATAGAATTGACTTAGGAGAGGAGGTTGCACCAGGCACCCCATCTGTGTAGCACATGCCCTCAGGCCTGGCTGGATACCTGAGTGTCCACTGTGATCCCCGCAGGCCATGTACGTCCCTGGACTGGCTTGGTGCCCCAGTGCCAGCCTCACCCCTCAGAAGTGTATGTACACCCCCCTTCTCTATTGGAGGGTTGTTTTTCATATTTGTTGATCAGACTAAAATTTATCTGAGATATGAAGCCATGCCCTAGACACTCCTACTGAAGGTAAAATTGCCCCAGGCCTCCCTTCCAAGTGTGCAGAATTCCTTTGGCTTCACTCCTAGGGTACTGGGACCCGGATGCTGGGGTTTCTCCTTCTGGGCTTCTGTGCACTGACCACAGACACTGCCAATCCTGGAGCCCAAGGATGAGCCCTGTGGACTCCAGGTTTTCAGAAATGGGATTGTGTTTGAGAAGGGGAGGGGTCCAGCGATCAAGCCGCGGATCCCTTCACCTTAGAAACTCGGCGGCTCAGTCTGTTGGTTGAGAGCATCTCTGTGCTTGGTGTGGGGACTGAGGATGTGGGCTCCAGAGTCAAGTCACCTTGCGTTGACTTGCAGTCAAGTCAGATCCTAGCATTGTCTCTACAGCTGTGAGCGAGTAACTCAGCCTCTCTGGGCTTCAGTTACACCCTGATGTGTAGAGTGGTATTTACATCATGGGGCTGTTGGAAATATTAAACTAAATGATCCTCGAAGTTCCTTGCTGCAGCACCTGACTCATAGTGTTTAATAAAAAAAACTGTATCACTTTTAATCAGTACAAAAATCTTAGTTCTCAGAATCGAAGTAGACCATGTAGACCTTGTTCCTTAAGAGGAAGAAGAAAAAGGAGGATGAAGCATCTTAGTCTCAGTGCACAAGGTCTCAACACCAGGAGGAAACATCAAGGATTTGAAAAGAAAATCCAAATTGATTCTGAAACTTTCATTGGTATTCCAAAGTGATTGCTTTCAGGAAATGAGCCCCAGGTTCAAGGTCAGATGAAGAATGTTTGGGTGTATAAAATAAAGGGAGAAGATTAATAAGAACTAGTTCAATGGCAGCATTTAGAAAGTCCAGGAGTATTCTGGAACAGAGCGATCCATCTATACCAAGGAGGCTAGTATGGATACATAATGAGTCCAAGGATAAGACCTTACCAAGCAGCACCAGCCAGGGAAACAGAGATGGTACCTTCAGTAGCCTGCTGCCCTCTGGCAGGGTCTCCCAAGGGTGGGAGAGGAAGTCGAGGAGCCCATCTGTCTTGGGTGACCCAGCCAGATCCTGCCTTCAGAGACTTCTGAAAGGAAGAGCTCAGGAACGAGGAGATGAGGCTCAGCCTGTTAAAGCTCAGACCTTGGGTCCACCCACATGACAGTACACCCAGAGTCGAGCCGTTTTTATTAGGAACAAATGGGGGGAAAGCCTTCTGGCATTCGTGTCCGCTTGTCACCTGAGGACTGGAGAAAACCATGTTTGAAATGAAAATGTGAAGCGGTCCCCAGTGGTTTCTAGTGGCATGGAACGGTCACAATGATGAATTGTTGTTTTTCTGTAATACCCATTTTTATCTTGCCCTAGAAATAGCAGTTCTGAAGCCTGGTGGCGTCTGACCCCTAAGGGCGCACCAGTTCCTAAGCAAAAAAAAAAAAAAAAGGAGAAACTAAGCACTTTTATTAAATAATGGCAGCCAGCCTTTCCCAGCTCTGTCCAGAGCAGTCTCTTGCTTTTCCTGCCCTCAGAGCTGGTGAGGAGTTCTCATAATGGAGCAGGAAGACACTTTTTCTTAATAAAGTGCCTAATAATTTGAAATGTTCACATTAAGAGCAGGTTTTGATTATATTAGAACATGGACAGGTAGGGATTTCTGCCTACTGAGGATTAATCTCACATTCCTCTTAAGGATGTTTGTGGGGTTTATTTTTGTTTGTTTGTTTGTACCAGGGATTGAACTCAGAGGCACTTGACCACTGACCCACAACCCCAGCCCTATTTTATATTTTATTTAGAGACAGGGTCTCACTGAGTTGCTTAGCACCTCACTTTTGCTGAGGCTGGTTTTGAACTCGTGATCCTCCTACCTCAGCCTCCTGAGCTGCTGGGATTACAGGTGTATGCCACCCCCCATCCCTAACCCCTGGCAATGTTTGTGTTTTGAAAGGAGACTTTGTTAACTGCAAGCATGATCACATGCATTACTGTCATTTCAGTTCCTTGTTTGATCCCACAGTGCTTGTTCGGTACTCTTTACGGAATCAGTATGTCCCTTCTAACTGCAGATGGGGTTATTCTTTATATAATTGCATTCACCTGGCTTTCGCTTTGGCATTTGTGCCCTACATTATGTGAGCTCAGAAACATTCAATACCGGGACTTCAACAGGAGGTGCTCTGTGAGTATGGGTACTTGTGTTCAACTACCAGAGTCCCCCGAGTCCCGAGTCCTCCCATCCAGGCCTCGATGGACCTACAGTTTGCAAGTCAGCCCACTCTTTGGATAGTGGGTTTCTGTTGCTGGAGGTGGGGGTAGGGAACCAGAGGGACCAGTTGACAGTGGCGATGTGTACCCTCCCTTCCCACTGGCCCCCATCCGCTGGTAGGACAAGCTTTAGCCAGTGTGACCCCGCACTGGTGGCCTGAGGGAGGGGGAATGCTGTGGGTACCACTGTCCCTGACACTGACCTCTTCCATTGTCCAGCCCCCATTAAATATATAGCCAACAGAGCTGCCAGAAGGTCTAGGGAGCCCAGGATGGGCAGACAGAACTCACTGCCAAATCGAGGCAGACCCAGAATCTTGGCAGCCCCAGCATCGGGAAGAGAAGGCAAATCCCAGCTCTGCTTTCTCTATCCCAGTCACACGACTGAATCCCGACCTCTGAGCACTTCCTGTGAGTGAAAGGTGCCTCTGGGGCATTGGGGTTTCCTTCTCAAAGCTTCACTTCTCCCCTTGACCCTGGAGGTGAACTTGTACTTCAGATCTGCTGGACCTCAGGACTCCCAGGTGCTGCTTTCTAAGAAGGGCCACGGCTGCACCCTCCCCAGGACGGAGACCCCAAGGACCCTAACCAAGCTCAGGAGCTGGTTGCAGAAGATGGCTGTCCTTAGACACTGTGACTCGCTGTCCTTTGAAGGGAGTGACAGTGTATGAGGCAGTTTTATCACAAATGACCCAAGGACCATTGCACCAGGAAGAAGAAAAAAAGAAAAAAAAAAAAAAGGCAAAGTCTGGCTCCTGGAGGTCATTTGTTTTGTGGAGTCCCCTTAAGAACAGAGTTTAAACCTCTGGGATTGGACAGAGGCTGATGAGACGTCACTTATCTGTTGGGCCTGGTGTCCTGGTGGGCTGAAATGATCCCAGCAGTTCTTATCTACAAGTGCTTGCTCTGCACCCAAACCACATTCAGTGCTTGGTTCTTGTAATTTGTTTAATCTCCATAACAACCCCACAGCGTCCACGAGGCACCTGAAAGGCTGGCTACGGTGCCTGGGATATAGGTGCATCGGACAGAAGCAAGATTGCAATCCCAGAGGTCTGCTGCTCTCTGCCCACGTGCAGGGCCCATAGTTCATGCTGGGTCTAACTCTTCCAGCTCAGAATTGCTGAAAAAAAAAAAAAA